TATTCGCCTCTTATGACAAGCATGGGTTGATGAAGACCAATTCTAACCCGGATCTTCAAGCGTACGTTGCTATTATTAACCAACCTATGTGCTTTTATGGTTTTACTGAGGATCTGGATGGATGAAAGTGAACATTGTCTATCCCTAATACTGTCTGTCAGAACAATTGTATCCACAATTTCTCGAGGTTCTTCCAACTTTCACTTTGATGTCTTGTCTATTACTAGTATTAGCACAGAATGTTGCCTGGAGCATAAGGATGATTCTTGTATATGTTGATTGATGTCCCTAGGTTGGCCGTCTTATGCAGCCCTCTGTGTTCTACATTGGTGAATGTGAGAAGATGTTCAAGAAGAAAGTGCCTAAAACCGATCCAGTAAGTCGGGGATTCCTGGAAACATTTTATAAAGAGAAACAGATGATTGTTACCCAAGAAGTGGCAGTATGTTTGTAGTATGGGCAAGGCTGGACTCAAACATAGAAACACATCATACAACAGTCATACAGCAGTCATTAGACTGGTGCCAGACAAATCTGACTTGTCATGTAATGAGTTGGGGTTTGGGTAGATTTTACAAAGGGGAAGTAACTCAAGATGGAAAACTATAGCCTGGTTCTTTTAGCATGGTCAAAATGGCTAAAAAACAGCAAGCAACTTGGTTTAAGGGTGGGTCACCTGTCACATCATCCACTCAGTGAGGTTCTGCTGCATTCTGGACCTCAACTGATCTGTGAATAACTGCATCTTACACATCTTTTGTATTTACAAATGTCAGATAACAGAGCTTTTGTCCTTATTGTATGAAATCTCTGCTAAAAGCAAGTTGATTGTATATAGGTGAGCATATCCTGCCACACTGGTGCCGACCATCACAAACACATGCAAAGAAAAGTCAATTGTTCACCTGGTATAATTCAGAGAACAAAATTGCATTGTACACAGTTTGTCAAATTTGGAAATGTCCACCACATGTCCACTACAACAACACTTGCTCTGTTTTCAAAATCGAGATGACCCATGATTTAAATGTTTCCTTTGTAAGACTGACCCGAAGCGTCTGAAGAAGGAGCTGCCCAAGGCCCTGAAGACCATCAAGTCTGAAGACCGTCTGCTCCTTGTGGGGACGACCAGATGTCCGTTTGATGGGGAGATGAAGCCCCTGATGAGCTGCTACAACCGGATCATCCTCATCCCCCCGACCAGACTACGCGTCCAGACACTGTGAGTGCACAACATTGTACAGTACAAATGGTTATTTCATGCATTGCTGTACATCATTCCCATTTTGCATCTTAGAGAAAGAAAGGATGACAATATATGGATGAACAACTTCTTTGTTTACAGAGTGAGAGATGTTTCGGCCTAGGTTCTAACACCATGATCCTAACACCTAACACCATAGATCAATGCTTTTGCTGTCAGCTGTTTATAGACAGACCATTACAATACAGTTGTAATTAGGGGTGTCACGATACACCAATCTCACGATACGATACGTATCACGATTTTAAGGTCACGATACGATACGTATCGCGATACATAATTATCGCGCCTTTTCATAGCATTACCTTACCGGCAACGTACGTGCTCGCTGATTGGTCCATCAAAATAGTCTAGCCAATCACAAAAGCTGTTAGTTTCCAACTTATTTTTTAAGTAAAGATAGCTACATCTATTTATCGGAGCCATCTGGTATAATTTTACTATCAAGACTTTGACAGAGATGGATATAGCATAAAAATTTGAATCGATAAAGTTTTAAAATAGGAATCGATACACGCAAGCATGTATCGCGTATCGTATCGTCAGTAAAAATGTATCGATGTATCGATACATTCGCGTATCGCAACACCCCTAGTTGTAATGTTGGTCAGTGGAGTGTCAAATAAACAAACAATTGTACCTTCAATATCCTTCCAACAGAGGGAAACCAAACATAACTCCCCCAAATGGTATCAACTGGGCAACTCAACTGCTAGTTGTTTGAATTCGACCTCTTCTCCTTCAGTGCTTTGGCGGCGCCTCATCACCAAGTATAACGGTGTTTTGACCAACCACCTGGACGTCAGCTCACTGTCCAAGGTGACGGACGGCTACACACCCGGCCACATGGTGACGGCCGTCCAGCAGGTGCTCACTGACCGCGTATCCAGCAGCTGTCCAAGAAGCACTTGCAGGCTGTGGAGTTCGTGGCACCGCTAGCCAGGATTGACCCCATCTACAAAGAGGAAGAGGAATCTTTCAAGGTATGTATTGAAATGATACAAGCTACTACATGAGTGAGTGAGTATGGTTTTGCGCAATATTACATTTTTAGCAATATTCCAGCAATATTGTGGCTGTGGAAGCCAAAAAATGGGATTCACATATTATAACCATGTGGGGAACCTGTGTCTTTGTCGTGACAAGCGAGTGAGTGGATATTGTTTTACACCGTTTTTAGTAATATTCCAGTAATATCACTGTGAGGGACACCAAAGAAGGGCTTCACAGATTTTAACCTGTGTCTTCTTCGTGACATGTGAATGCTTTAACCACTAGGCTACCCCACCCCAATCCTTTGAATATATACCAGGAGACATGATCAGTAAGCTCTATATAAATAAAATAACAAGAATAAACTGTAAATGTTAAACTCGAATGTTCCATACAGGCTTGGTATGCGAAGACACCGCTGGGAAAGAAGCGAGCGAAGGCAGCACAGGGTGACGATGACGACGGCGGAGGAAAGGGAGGGAAAGGAAAGAAAGGCAAAAAGGGAAAGAAGGGGAAGAAAGGAAAGAAGAAGAAGAAATAAAACTAAGGATAAAACTGTGATTTTGTATATTGTGAACTTAGAAATTTATATTGTTTAAAATGGAATAATCACCCTTTTTTAAAACTTCAATACCAATGAATACTTGAAAAACAGTTTCTAATGGGACTTTACTAAACATCCATATTAAAATTCTACTTTCAATTTGCAATAAGAATTTGAGATTTCTGTTTGGATTATTTATTCATTGATACCGTTATTCTAATGTACATAATCTTTATAAGTGCATATATCTAATTATGTATGTATGAGGCATCTGTATAAGAAAACATTGGACATGTATATATTGTCATTTTGTTGGTGTATCAAAGCAATAACTTTCCCTGTTCACACTATACTGTGTCACATATTTTACTTTGTGTGTAGTATTTGTCTGTGTCCAGCATTATACTGATTATCTGTCCATGTCGACTAAATGAAATGAATATGGTCTGTCCAGTATTATTATAATTTATTATCCATGGCAACCAAATTAAATGAAGAATATTGTCTGTCCAGCATTATACTGATTTTCTATAAATGCAACCAAACGAAATAATCTGAGTATGAACATACAGAGTAGGCAGTGTGGATAGCTTACAGGAGATGCTGACCTACCTGATAACATTGCTTTAGTATTCTGTGTTTGTTTTTTGTTTTTGATAACAATGTTTGTGATAAAACCAAAATACTTGGTATTTCTCCGCCTGTTAAAGTTGGTTGAATAAATGATCCGATTTGAGTGACTGAATTGTTGTCAGTATTCATGCACATGGATTATACATTCCTCCAAGATAACACCTTGTGGGATTACTGTACTTGTGTCTAGGTTGATTGCTGTCATACTCGGATGCTGCTCACAACATCAACCATTGGTTTGTGTGTCCTGACTTGATTCTGTACAGGATATTGCCTTATGCTAGAATATTGCTGCGTGTGGAATAACAAGAGAGAGGCTACTGTGTTAAAATACTAATGTTCCATTTATCATGGGCATTTCCCCATGCACAATGCATGCTCGAAGTGCCCAAACAATCTGATTATTATTACCCCAGATAACCCAAGCTGCCTGTGAAGCGCTAGAAGGTTAATGGCTACACATGACTTATCCCACTGGGTACCCATTTTCTGCTCAGTAAACAGAGGCAGTTTTGAACAAACTCACTTGCCTAAGGTGAGACCACATGTCTCAAGTGCCTTGTTGTGGGGCAGGACTGAAGTCCCATAAACTGTCCGGAGTCAAGCTGCCAAACATGGTCACCCATCCAAGACCTCTCTGCACCCAAGGCCACCTAACTTCAGCTGATTTGTGACCTGAGCTCTACCCACAGGACCACTAAAACATCACGGTCTGGGGGCAAGAAGATAACTTTATAAAGCACACAAACGACACTTACAATTAAGTGAATGTTGTTTGGGTTTTTTAAAAATGATAAGAAATAGTCCAGCTTATCAAGGTGACCTGTTGGTTACCCACCCTGAGCAGATGAGGGAGTGCCAGTATGAGAAATGTCACGGCACGGACACCAGAAATGGGCTTCACACATTATGCTCATGTGGGGAATCAAACCCGGGTCTTCAGCGTGACGAGCGCTTTAACCACTAGGCTACCCCACCGCCCGTCTGAGCTGATGAACCATTGCTGACAACATAAACACATCCAAGTCATCAGTGTTGTGTGAAGCTCAGTCGGTTCACAGAACCTGACCTCCTATTGAAGTCGACTGTTGCTGGGACCAGTTCTACCCTGGGGGTTTAGATCCAGTTTTTACAAACATGTCCAAAGTCAAAATAATATCACATATATCTACTCAATTAATTCCATCTCTCTGGCTTAAGGGGCCGGTTGGGTGGCCTAGTGGTTAAAGTGTTTGCTAGTCAGGTCGAACACAAGGGATCCGTCCATACAGGTTCAATCTGCAAGCCCGTTTCTGGAATCCTTGGCTGTTGCTGGAATATTGCCAACAGCAGCGTAAAACTTTACTCACTCTGGCCATTGATTAGCAAAACCCCTTCCCGCCTCCTATTCAGAAAATAGGTGTTTCTAAACAAAGTTCACACAACAAACGAAAGTAGGCAAACAATAAATAATTCCACGACCGCGAGTATGTATTATATGACTCGTCATGTTTATATTTAATGCAGTCTGTAATTCCCAGCGCTATATATGGCCTCTTTGAGCACTATGGACACTGCACCACAGCTGGTGACCCCATTTAATCAAACATTTCTTAAGTCACTTATCGATCCTTACAATACTCCCTGCTTCACAACACAGACAGTTTCCATACGTTTCGGACGCACATGGTGAGTTTTGTTTAGTATCATTATTTTTAAAATACCGATGCCTTAAGGCACCTGTTATGACTAGACAGACAGGATTTAAGATAAGACACTTCATTTGTTTTAAAGGATTATTTTTTTTGAGTGTTTGAAAAATAATGCATATTCAGTATCTTTCACGACATTTGGGTGAGAAGGTAGTATATTTGTTTGTAGAGTTTTAAATTCAAACCCCTTAAGTAGCATCACTATAAAAAACAGAAAGACAGGTTTAACTTTTAGCAAACATCTTGGAATATTATGAAAACAGGGTGACTAGATATGTGATTCATGCAAGATGATAGAAATTGATGGTAGTCAAAGATACTGTTTCCCTGACGATAGTGTATGTTGATTTGTATACCCAAATAGAATCAAAGAATGTTGTTTTATATTCCTGTTCACAAAGAGAAACTGCAAATTAATGAAACTGAAAAGTAGTGATAGATTTTGAGCCACTGAGAAATATTGCTGCTTTTCACTGCTGTTGCAATGCATCAAGAACAAATATTTTCCTTTAGACAATGAAGGTAGACCAACTTTATTACTCGCCCGTGGAAGATACTGCAGTGTAATATTTATACGGCAATATTATGTAATAGTGTAATATTTATACGGCAATATTACACTAGTGTAATACCGCTAGACGTATGACGTCACAATGCTAATACCTCTGTCACAATGGTATTAGACCTTGCTTGACTCGTAGAAAGCTGAGAGTCATCACACTTCGTAGGCAGCACCCTTTTGATACCAAATCATTAACTCGTTTAATAAAAATGGTATTACACGGAAGGTCGTTCCTCTATGTAACAGAAACAGAAAGTGAAAGTAGGGCTGACTGGAGTCATGTGATGAATGTGAAAGTAACCTAGATCGCTTTCATTTGATAGTGTAAGTAAATTATCATGTAATGTCACAGAAAGTGAAAATAAATGTCACAGAAAGTGAAAGTAGCATTATGTCCAACAGTTGATAGTGGATTTAAATTATCATTATGTGAATAAAACATTTGATCATTATGTGAATAAAAAAACTCTTTACTTACACTACTTTCACTTTCTGTGAATAAAATGTCACAGAAAGTGAAAGTGGCGTTGTTTCCCAAATTGATGGTGGAAGTAAATTATCATTTATCGTTTTCATGGAGTGTGATATAATAACATTTTATAGTCACAGAAAGTAAAAGTAGGGTTGTTTTGGTAGCATTTGATGAATGTGAAATTAACCTAGATCGTTTTCTGGGATAAAAGGACCCCCCCTCCGTGGTGTAGTGGTTAGAGCGTCCGCCCGGAGAGCTGAAGGTCGCGGGTTCGATCCCCGACTGCGTCATATCAAAAGACGTTAAAATATGGTACTTGTTGGTCCCTGCCTGGCGCTCGGCATTAATGGGTATGGTCGGCTCGGAGTCAGTATAATGTGTCTGAGTGGGGTATTCATGCTTCACTGCGGCATGGTATCTCAGTTGGCTAGCACTATAAAAAACAGCTTAAGTCTGGGCTAGAACAAGCAGCCGCACATACACACACAAACGCATGCACGTCGTCATATGAGCGAAATATTCTCCACCACGACGTTAAACCCAATTTCACCTCACCACACCTCACCTTGGATAAAAACATTTCATAGTCACAGAAAGTAAAAGTAGGGTCGTTTCCCACAGTAATTATGGTTTAGTCCCGATTTTGACAGTCCAAATTTTGACAGTGAACTTTCACACTTCTGTAATTGATTTAGCCAGTTGTCCCAATTTTGACAGTGAGCTTACCGGTCGTCCCAATTTTGACAGTCCTCGGCTCACACATGTTTATTAATCCATGATTAGCCAGTGATTGTGGGAGCTACTGTAACAGAAGCTTCGGATACGACTAAAAACTATGACTAAAACAAAAAAGACTAAAACTAAAACAGTTTATTCTTGAAAGTCACTTCAAAGTCACCAATCACTGAGCAACACTGTCAGCCAGCACACTGCCACAGGCAGAAAGTCTGTCACATGGCATGTATTCCAAACCGAGTTGGTACAAAGCTAGTTATCCCAGTTTTGACAGCAAAACTTCACACGGTAACGGATCAGTGATCAAGACGCTGTCAAAAATGGGACACTACTCGTAGTAAGTGAAACCGTCACCCTCGTTGTACATGGGTTGGTCGTCACGATATGGCTGAAATATTGCCGATGTGACGCTAAATATTAACTCACTCACTCACTCACCATGGATTGGCGAAATAGATTTGAAATCTTAGAACGATGTCTTAGTGTTGCTCTCCACTGTAGACTCTGAGGGTCAACTGTAACTATACTTTCATGTTAAACATAGCCCTGCCACGATATATATATTGTCTTTCTAATATTCATGCTCAGGCAATCGGGGGGAAGAAAATAAACAACACATTTGTATTCTCTTTCAGATACAGAAGGAACCCCTAGACACAAAGGCACCACTATTTGTAGTTTGATACAACCGTAGTTCGCAATACGCAATTTTGACCCAAACAGAGTGACCAAACTAGCAGTTCGTTACATCCGTCAGTTCGTTATAAGCAAGTTATAAACTCTTTGAATATTATTGTTTCTATAGTCGAATTATGGAATTGATGCTGAGAGCTTTAAACGATTGGGTTTCCTATTTATCCAAGTGTGGTTTCAGGGTAGGTTGTCAGACCCGCTGACCTGGTCGACGGCGTGTTAACGGACCCCCGACGGCGTGGAACGTTGCTGGCAGTATTGATCACTGGATTGTCTAGTCCAGACTTGATCCGATACAGACCGCCATCATTTAGCTGAAATATGTCTTAGTTCCTCGTAAGAAAGCAAGCAAAAAATCGAACGAACGAACGAACTAAAAATCGTGTTTTACACCCGCAGTTACGGGGCTGAAGATGACACTACAATGGACGCTGATCGCTGGATGTCTGTACGTGGAGATAGGAGTCACTGTGTTGCTTCTTTTTCCGTTGATCTCCCCTAGACTGTAAGTATTACACTTGATGAATAATAACACGTAGAAGAGACAATGTATGATAAGGTCCATGCGGTTCGCATTATTTGAGAAATCAGCAACATTTGTATACAATGTTATGAAAGTTATGCAGATGCGTGCATACTAGGCTAGAACTGTTCATATCATAATTTTTTACTTATAAACAAAAAACTTAATGTGGACTAATGTGTTATATAGAGGTTTTCATTCAGCATTCCCTAAATAATTAAACATCCACAAATCTTGTAAACATTTAAAGCAAATGCATTGTAATGTAAACTTCTTTCTCATGATTATTTCAGTGCTCTTAATTTCAGGCATGAAGGAAAATAACTTTAGTAACATGAAGCAATCGTCTATCCTTAATTACTTTTGAGTAGCATAAGGTTAATCATGACAACAAGTGGGGATGGGGGTGTCTGAAAAAAGCGTAGCGCAGCAGACCCCGAGAAGCTGGCTGCGTAAAGGAAACTCACTCACTATAACCATTTTAGGCTGTAGCGAAAACGCGCATAGACAATCCAAAGTATATAAATCAAATACCGTGACCGCCATGTCGAAGTTGAAAGAACCTACGTAAAACCTCGAGTTATCCGAAGTTCGACACTGAGTAAAATTGATGAATAAAGAAGGAATACGGAGGGAAAATCTACACTGGAGTAAAACGGTTGCGTAGTGTTCTGTTCAGTTGAAGATGAAATTGAAATAGTCCGTATGACTGAAGTAAATTGAATTTTTGTATGTTGCAGATGGCAGAGACTGTTTCGCTCTCGATGGCTGGGCATGATAACAGATTATGCAAAATTTTACTTTTGGGCGGCAATTGTGATCCTTATCTTAGTGTTTGGAGGTAGGATATCCACTGAAATCCTTTGAAATCCTTTGAAGCATCATCCTAACACACAGACTAAAGAACAGCCTGTTCTAGACAGGCATGCACAGAGATACAGTCTTCCAGTTACTATCGTATTGTATGGTTTGTTGAATAGCCCCGCAAGTCCAACCTTATGACGGCGGCCTGACGTCGCGACCAGAGTGAGTGAGTTTAGTTTTACGCCGCACTCAGCTATATTCCAGCTATGTGGCAGCGGTCTGTAAATAGTCGAGTCAACCAGACAATCCGGTGATCAACAGCATGAGCATCGATCTGCGCAGTTGGGATACGATGACATGTGTCAACCAAGTCAGCGAGCCTGACCACCCGATCCCGTTAGACGCCTCTTACGACAAGCATGGGTTGCTGAAGATCAGTAACCCGGATCTTCACGGGTGTCGCGACCAGACAAACCAGTGATTGATATTATAACATAAGGGCCCAATCCTCGTTAGGCTACATTGGCACAGGACCAACCAAGTCATCAAGCAAGACCATCCAATCCACGTCGGGGTACACTGACACACGGTCAGCCAAGTCATCAAGCAAGTCCATCCGATCCACGATGTAGGCCTGATGCTGGTTTCACATGGATACTTCACTCAGACATAGGATGCTGACTTCGAGCCGATCGGCCTTTGTTCCACCCCTGTGTGAGGTTCTATGGCAAAAAGCCTTATATCACTGCACAGGAACTGTATGCCACCAACCTTAGGGACCGTTCATAATTTATGGCTAGGGGGATGATGATGATATTTATGGAGAAGCATGTACAATGTAAATGACCCCCACCAAAAAAAAATAAAAAAAATAAAAAATAAATAAATAAAAATTTACGTACAAAAAAAAAAAAATTACGTACAAAATACCCCCCCCCCCTGCATGTCATGTACAAAATCAATTACCCCCCACCTTCCCATAATTTCTAAGCATAATTTTAAACATATTATTATGTACAAAATTGCCGACCCCTAGTACGTGTGTACAAAATTGTTGACCCCTCTAGCAGCTCCCCAGAACAAAATGGGTGAAAACACACACACACACACGCACACATACACGCACACACGCACGCACACACACACAGAGACACACACACACACGCTTCATCCATTAGACCACGGAGGCTGGTAACAAAAAAAAGGTTTGAATGCTTTTCCCTGTCCTCAGATTCTTTCCGCAATCACCGGAAGTACAGTGACTCCGTGAGGGGTCAGGAGCTGAAGATGTCCACTGAGACCCGGATGATGGCGCAGGCTAAGATGTTTCGAGCCCAACGAAATCTGTACATATCTGGATTTGTTCTTCTCCTGGCATTGTAAGTAATCAGCTTGTTTCTATGTATATCCTCGATTGTAAAAGGTCTCCTAAAACAGAAGCAAATCTGAAACTTTTCATGGTAAATATAGTATTAATGCACAGCTTCTGAAACGGTTATAGGCCACAGACGCACGATTCACAATGACGCTGATCGCTCTGCAGAGATTTAGGCCAGGATATTCTGAAACGTTTTAGGCCACAGACGAACGCGGGGGAGGCATCATTAAACACCCACTTGTCTTGATTAAGTGTGAGATGGCAGAGATGTGTGCTAACTCCGTTAAAAAGCTTCCAGAAAATTCTCTACTGTACGGTATTAATTTATGTTGTTTAAAAACTTCCAGGTTACTCTTGACGCCCAGTCTATGTAGCGACTTGCACACCACTGTCACCTACTGAATTTCAACAACAATCTAATAGTTACAACAGTGTTTTTAAAAATAAATTACACTGACATATAACAATAAACTCCCTGATTTATCCATACAGCCGCATATAGAACTCGAAATTCAAATCTATTGCGGACGATGGACGTTGGATTGTTGTTTAACGCTGCACTCAGCAATATTCCAGCTATATGGCGGTGGTCTGTAAATAATAGAGTCTGGACGGGACAATCCAATGATCAACATTATGAGCATTGGGATACGATTACATGTGTCAACCAAGTCAGCGAGCCTGACCACCCGATCCCACTAGTCGCCTCTTACGACAAGTATGGGTTACTGAAGACCAGTTCTAACCCGGATCTTCACGGGTATGCGATGGACGTCTTCTGGACTCTTGTTTCCCATGTGATCCAATCGAACTGAAACGTTGTTATATGGCTGACGATGTTTTAGGTTATTTTTTAGCTCCCATGGAAATTCCACATTCTATATGTAAGCAGTGCCAATTGTGTTCCCAGTGTGATCGGACGTCTGGTAGTTCTACTTTCTGACAAAGCCGACCTGATGAACAGGCTAGAGAGTAGTGAAGGTACCATGATGGCTCCCACCAACGACCAGCAGCTACAAACACGTCAATCAGAGTCGACAACAGCGAGGAGACGCAACACAGACACAGCGGAGGTCTGTTTGAACATATTGTATTCAGTATTGAAAGGGATTGGGAACAAGTTATTCAACTTACTAAAGCCCGCTTTCGACAATTACATGGAAAATATACATGTAATGGACAATGAACAGAGGCAAGACATATTACACATTAATTGAAACGCTTACTAAGTACAATGAATTTATGGACGTGACGAAAAATATTTTCATTTACAGCTTGTGGCAGACTAAGGCTGCCGTACAGAAGGATATTAATATCAAAACAAACTTTTAGGATTTCAAAGCCTTGTATCAAATAAAACCGCAGCTGACATACTTTGGACATTTTAAAAAGAAATGATTGGCATCTTCCACCGGAGCACCACAAAGGCTTTACTTTCAGATAAATGACACGAAAAAGATCAGTATTCAAAGAACTACATGAATTTCTAAACTTAGTGTGTAGAATACCAATCTTCCTTTCACCAAATAGGAAATATTTAGGAATTTTATCAAATTTTTCAGATAATTCAAATTTAAATGATGGTAATGAATTGGCACATTTTATTGTGGATGAGAGATTATTCCATAAATAGGCACAGTCATAGATAAATTACTTTTGGAGAACTGTGGTTCTAAAAAATTGGAATAGCCAAATAAAACTTGTTACGCAAATTGTATTGAGAAATAGTTTCAGTAGATGGTGGAAGTAAGTCTATAAGATAATCAGGAGCTTGCATGTTAACAATTTTGTAAAATGTACAAAGTTTCTTTAACTTTTAAAGGTAGCCAACTAGTTTTGCTATACAAACTAGATCTTGAAGCGAAATTTGGCAGACCGGTTACATTTTTTGCTGCTTTAAGCTGAAACGTTTCAGGTTTATCACAAATATCTGCGGGACAATTATCCCGGGACCTCACAAGCATATTCTAAGATAATTCTAGAATAGATTTCATACATGCTTGGTAGAATGTTTTTGGTAGGACGTGCTTTAACGCCCGCATTGAGGAAACTATTTTAGAGGCCTTATCTATTACAGCAGTTACATGATGAGACCACTTTGTTTTGTCTGATAACATAACACCAAGATGTGTATGTTTTATGATGAAGTCAGGAACTTGTGGACAATGTCCATGGTTGAAAAGCATAAATTTTGTCTTATTAGGGTTTAACTTAACTAACCACTTTTCTGCCCATGTATTCAGGTGGACGAAATCATAGTTGTGAGGAGCTTCTATCGATTTGTAACATCTTTTTGCCTCGACACCGATTGATGTGTCATCGGCAAACATTTTTGTGATATTTTTATTTAACTTTTCAGGTAAATCAGTGATATATACAAGGAACGAAAATGGACCAAGGACAGATCCTTGAGGAACCCCTGCAGTAACATTTAGTTCTTTTGATAATGTTCCATTAACAGAGACACAATGTCGTCTATCATATAGATAGTTAGTTAACTAACTAAGTACCTTTCCACGAACACCATACTTTTCTAATTTGTGCAATTAACCTTTATGCTAAACCCTGTCAAAAGCTTTTGAAATATCACTAAATACCATACAGTAAAGGTGGCAATTATCGAGGGATGAGCATATATTATGATACATTTCCATGAGTTGAGATGTAGTAAAATTATTAGCAGTAAAACCTGACTGGAATTTACTTAAAATGCCATGTTCATGGAAATGGTTCAATGCTTTAACATAATTGTTTCAAGAATTTTACCAAGGATAGATAATAAACCAATAGGGCTGTAATTAGTTGGGAGGGATTTATCTCCTTTTTTGAAAACAGGAGTAACATTACCCGTTTTCCTCATTGTCGGAAAAACAGTTACACAGTGATATATAACAAACAAAGAGGTTGAGCTACAGATGTACAAATTCGTTTTAACACTCTCATGTTAATGACATCAGGTCCACTAGATTTGATTGCTGATGAGGTCTTACTCATATCAGATACCTCCTTTTCGGTTACAATGACATTTGTTATACTATTAACACAGCGATGGTTAAACAGGTGCCAAAGCATATGGTTAACGTGCTTGTGATGATGCTGGGCCATGGTTTATAACTTCGTCTCAAAAGCACCAGTTTATCATCGTAATTTTATTTCGTTTAAGTTCATAAAATACTTTGTTGTTGAAAATCAGATCCAGTAGAGACATCACACTACCAACGGACCAGTCGTAAACTGATGATAATTGATGAAATTGATGATAATATTTAGTTTTGTTACATTAACGAAAATGTATACACGAGACGCACAGAGGACCCAGTGTACAAAGAAATCAAATTTCTGTGAACAATCGCATACTCCATTGCTAAAAAGCCATTGCTAAATCACATAATCTTTTCTTCTTGCGCTTTGAAGAAAATAATTCCAAAAGTTCTAAATTTCTTTAAAATTTTGAAAGACCTATACATGGTTGAAAAATTCATATCCAGAAGGAACAACAATTTTGATAAATTTTCAGCCAAATGGTTTCGTTTATTCTCAATATTTAATTTTTGATTTAATCTTTAATTGAAGTTGAATAACTGTACTGGATAATAATGATTTTACACTATTAGTTGATGTAACATTTCTGTTGAACCCACTGAGCTTTGACCATGCATTTGTACATTTATCACTCTAAATGCTTGTATTCGACTATGGGAACAAATGAAAATATAGCAGTATATTAATTAACTGTTTGATGAATTCAATAATTACAATTTACTTATATAAAAAAAATAAATCGCATGTTTTGTTGACGAGCTGTTTCTTACGGATAATCAAAGTAATGCTTTACAGTATTTATATAAACAGTTAGAAAAATTACAGTGAAAATTTTGAAAGTTGAAAGTAACAGCGTTATTATTTTACATACTTTTTCGATGCAGTATCCACTCTCAAAAACACTCTTCACAGCGATAGTAAACTATCTATTTCTATGTGTTTGTGTGTGTGTAACTTCTTCAGCAGTTGGATTGTTTGTTTTTTAACGCCGCACTAGCTAAATAATAATCGAGTCTGGACTAGACATTCCTGTGATCAACAGAACAAGCATCGATCTACGCAATTGGGATTAGATGACATGTGGCAACCAAGTCAGCGAGCCTGACCACCCAATCTCGTTAGTATAGGTCGTTGAAGACCAATTCCTATAGTGTGGGATAAAGTTTCGTTATGTTGCGATTATTCTTCGACTGAGTGGGAATTGGAAAAAGAATCTGCATTCTCATTAAATGTGACATTTTATAGTCTTTGTGACATTATGTTGATGTATATTTATTAGAAATGGGGCCATGAATCTAATGTACCTGTAATTGTACATGTTGTCTTACTTTTACACAAATGTAAACTGACGTATAAAAGAAAGTACACATCTGGTGCTTTGAGGTTATCTTTTTTACAACAACAACAACAACAACAACAACAACAACAACAACAACAACAACAACGTAAATAGTTTGATAATTGTTTCATTGTGACTTACACATCACACACTTTGTGTACGTGTTGTCCAAACACCGCAGGTATTGTTTAATGTTTCTCGCCCAAGGTTGACGATTCAGTCAATGTTGGCGGGTTAATGACTTGTCCCGAAATGGACGATAGGCCTGGATGCCGACATCACGCAGTCGTCTCATAACTGTGTTCCTGCTACCCAACGCTGATGATACTGATGACGGCACTGTAAGGCGAGGAGTAAGCACCCGGTTGCGCAGATGGAGAATGCGCAGGTGATGGTCATCTTGCGGGCTGGTCACTATCAAGTTCTGGGACTGTCAGATGTCTGGCCAGTGTCGTTGGCGTCCCATCAGTCTGATTATGGTCTGCCTTGTCCTGTCAATATGGCTGTCCGAAGATCTCATCTGCGACATTCCAGTGGCTCGTTCTTCAGCTAGGTCGTCATAACGAGATTCGAACGACATTAATAATACACAGGTCCGCATCTAGTGGACTATTCTACATACGATTTTACGATGTCAGTTATTTCTAACCCTATGGGCGATAAATGATGATTTACATCCTCTAATGAATTGAGATTACAGTATCTGCAGATATTTCCTTTGCCATGGCATTTCATTTTGTTAAACATTAAGTCGGGAAATATTGAATTGTAATTTAGCTGCCCTTATTTGCTTAATGTGAGTACATGGTAGGTGCGTCTCACTGACACAGTTCTGTTTAAACAAAGAATCAGTATGCGGTACCAGATACGTTCTTTTGAGACATATGACAGAACTGTTTTGGTTGCCTAAAGTGAGTGAGCGTAGTTTTACACCGCACTCAGGAATATTCCAGCTACATGGCGGCGGTCTGTAAATAATCGAGTCTGGAACAGACAATCCAGTGATCAACAACATGAGCATAGATCTGCGCAACTGGGATACGATGACATGTTTCAACCAAGTCTGCGAGACTGACCACCCGATCCCATTAGTCGCCTCTTACGATAAGCATGGGTTACTGAAGGTCAATTCTAACCTGTATCTTCACGGAGAATGGAGATACGCTACAGTGTTACGATTCTCAGATTTGTATATATACTCCTTGAGTTGCTTTTTTCTGATCAAACTACTGCTACACAAACATGAAACGAACATATCTTCTAACATTTATGTAATACATAGCGCTACATGAAACTATGACTCTGATGATAGTGTCTCTGATAGGGAGGTCCTGAGTTCGATCCACATCCGCGACATATCAAAATGCGTAAACGGATGGTGATTTTTGTTTCCCTGCCTGGCGCTCTAAAACAAGGACTGGTCGGCTCGAATGATTGGTTGGCTGGTGTTTAACACCACTCTCAGCAATATTCCATTTATATAATGGCGGTCTGTAAATAATTGAGTCTGGACCAGGCAATCCAGTGATCAACAGCAGTAGCATCGTTCTACGCAGTTGGGATACGATGACATGTGTCAACCCAGTCAGCGAGTCTGACCACTCGATCCCGATAGTCGCCTCTTACGACAAGCATGGGTTACTGAAGGTCAATTCTAACTCGGACCTTCACGGGTCCCTTGATGTAAAGACCCTGCATAGCCCTATAAAGTACCAAAATGAAGCAATGTAGAGTTTCCTCAATCTCATATCTCACTGAGGTTACTTTTCAGTTTAAATGGTATTACATGTCTCCATTGTCACGTTCGATTCCCCACACAGGTACAATGTGTGAAGTCCATTCCTTGTGTCCCCCGCCAGGATATTGCTGATATACCATACTCACTCTGAGAGGGACGTGAACCAACAAACACCCAGACCAACATTTCACTGCTGTGGTCGCAGTTGTTACCACCCCTTGATTGAGAAGGACGTAGAAAATGACTTCTATCAGGTCCATTGGTGGATCAAGTGTGTGTGCGTGCGTGCGTGTGTGTGCGTGCGTCAGTGCGTGCATGCTTGCCACCTCCCTTTCATGACAAAAAAGGGGTGGTTTGGGGGGTGCGCACTCCTACAAACGCTCTAGAACTGTGCACCCACCGGCTACATCATGAACATGTAGTACTTACTTTATTGGTCCAAATACACCAAGGCCTCGTCGCTGGTGATTGGTCGGTGAATTATCGAGGGAGTAGCCCAAGACGTAATTTTATCGACCAATCAACAGCGACCAGACCGTGGTGTATTTAGACCAAGTTCGAGTGATTGGATGAAGTAACTGCTTTGTACAACGTCCACAGTCTCCATTCAAATTTCAAAATCTGCATGGGATATTTGAATTTAAAATTATTCTGTTTGAGACTGCCGCCATGTCTAGTCGGGATAATACTATAGACGACATTACACTGTCACAAATATGTTGACCAAATTGATGGTGCTAAATTCTGGGATGATACAATCGATGACATTTACCAGAACTGTATTTTCAATAATCATTGACTTCGAAAAATTGTGAAAGGACTTTAAAAAATTAAGTACTTCGTGACTGATTCAAACGTTTGATGATGTATTTGTCACCGTGTTTCCGCAAAAGTTGTCATTATTTTCAACAAAAGAGTACAACAAATGTTGGTTGTCTTTTTAGAAGGTTAACATCCATTTGAGACGTAGTTTTGTTAAACATAGGCGTGGCTAATATTGCAAAGAGCCAATCAGAGAGTTGCTGTCGAAGGCAGCTCAAAATCGCGGTGTAACTGTACATTGTACCACGCCTGAGTGTCGGTTCCTTTGATCTTACCCGTGGTGTATGTGCTGGAAGACAACAGTTTTGTCTTGAAGGCAGATTTCGTCTGCCATTGGCTCCTAAAAGCCACGCCCCACGGCAAGAGGACTGAACTCAACATTGTTCAACATTGTACACAATTTATGTCAGTCAAGGTTTGCAACAAGGAAATGTAACTTCTACAGTTTTAATGGTTTCAAATGAATTTGGCGGGAAATGAACACATAACATCAAATATATCCGATTTCACCTGAAAGTCCCCCACCATTAGAGTGTCTACATCGTACTCATTCACTGTTTGTGAAAGAGTGAGCTGGGAAAGTCCCTCAAATGCATGAAATTCATTTTCCATGACTGATGCGATCTGTGACAGTGTAAAGTCGTCTATGTCCTCGTCCCACACTACATGTGCACTCATTTTGGCAACTAGACTGAGAATGAAACGGTCGTTAAAACTTTAAGATTTTCCCGCTTCCCATACATAATAGGCGTGGTACAAGTCAGTTAGCTCATCCAATCCTCGATCTGTGCTCGTATACACGATCTGTGCTCGTATACACGATCTGTGCTCGTATACACCACAGTTTTGCCGGAGTTGATTGACAAGTGTTGAGGAAGCTCGAGCACAGCCCTCGCGTCTCCCACCTGTCAGTCAACTCCGGCAAAACTGTGGTGTATACGAGCACATATCTCGGTTTGAAATGATCTAACTAATACATACACCACGGCAGAGATGAAAGGCCCCGCAGTCAGGGCATGGTACAATGGGTTATCTACAAATCTATTTATAGCTTTCTGGAATACCCACTTTCGTTTCTTCTACCACGAATCAAGACTGATTTCCTACAACCCTGTATATAACCTTTGGACTGAGGTGTAGCAGTTTCAACTCACCATCGACGGCTCAGTAAGTATGTGTATCCAGTTGCTTCTGTCGGTGGTTCGGGGACAGGCCATTGTGTCGTTACTTAAATATTTCGATATATACTCTCCCACAAATGAAACGCATCATGAAAATAGCAATTTCATGTAGCAATGAATTAAAACGTGATTCATTTTACAAAAGGTTTTGCTCTGTTTATGAGTCCTATGGTGTTTATGTTTTGAAACATCACAACGAAACGCACCATCGGTAAAATACCCGTATTTAACAGCATGATTTTCAATTTCGGCGTGTAGTGTCACAGAATACACAATTCACATGCAATGCACGTGAAAGTTGGGGATCAGATAGTCTCAATGATAGGTATAAAAGGTTGATCGCTGTCTGTCGATTATTCACTGTATGTGGAATATTGTTGTCGAACGCAAAATGCCACGTCTAAGTGAAGCCAATCGTCATATCGCGATTGGTTTGCTTGAAGCTGGCCAGTCTCAACGTGCAGTTGCCCGACGCATGAATGTTCACCAAAGCACCATTTCACGGCTTTGGGAGAGATATCGCTGGCAGAATGCGGTAGCAGATGCCCCTCGTAGAGGGCGACCTCGAGCGACCACTGCGGCGCAGGATCGCTACATCCGGGTACATCACCTGCGTCATCGAACAGCTACGGCAACCAGTACCGCTCGACAAATACCCGGATTGAGGAGGCTTTCTGCACAGACCGTCAGGAACAGGCTGGTTTACGTGTGCCAGAAGACCTTATTTTGGCCCTGTGCTTCGACAACAACATCGTCGACATCGAGTTCAATGGTGCACCAACGTTCAGGCCTGGAACCTACCGAATTGGCGTAGAATCTGGTTCAGTGATGAATCACGATTTCTATTGGAACGACGCGATGGAAGAATGCAGGTGTACAGACGTCGACGTGAACGTTTCGCCGACGCTTGCGTTCCCCAGGTGGACAGATTCGGCCGGGGAAGTGTTATGATGTGGGGAGCGATCACCTGCCGTAGGAGAAGTGATTTGGTGATGATCCAGGGCAACCTGACAGCTCAACGGTACTGTGACGAAATCCTACGCCCACACCTCCTTCCAATCATTGATCGCCAGAGGAAGTTGTTTCAACAGGACAATGCCAGGCCCCACACAGCACGTCACACTAGAGACTTCCTCCAGAACCACAACATCAATGTGCTCCCCTGGCCCTCAAGATCACCGGACTTAAACCCGATCGAACATCTGTGGGAAGCCCTGGACAGACGGGGGCGACGCCGTAACCCTCAGCCCCAGACACTTCAGCAACTCGCAGAGGCACTACAGGCAGAGTGGGCTGCGATTGGGCAACACGAGATTCTGAGACTTATTCGTTCGATGCCGAGGCGATGGCGTGCAGTTCTGGATGCCCACGGTGGTCACACGAGGTATTGACTTCAGCGCCACCACACGTCTCCATGTGACACTCAAACTGACTTTCCTCGAGTTGGTGCCAAAGACGGATACGTCTGCATTCCCAGTGTGCAATTTCTCTATATTTCATTGACTCATAACGCCTACAAGATGTTTCAAAATAAACATAAAAATACAGTTGAAATTCCTATATGCGTTTCTTTTTTGGGAGAGTATATATTGATATCGTACTCTAATGGAAGAAACGCACTCTCTATGCACTTTACACATCGTCAGTCACTCTAGCCGCGATGCGGTCCTATACAGTTAAAACATCTCTTAACGGGTACCGTCACCTTTTCTGACGGCTTTAATCACTCCATATAGCACTTGTATCGCCAATTCCTGCGAAAAATGACTCATTAAGTTAAGGTCAACCTCGTCTTAAGCTCTATCACACTCTTAAGAGATCTTACAGACAATGCAACACAGCTATGAAAAGTAGTGGAAAGGGAAGATATTTTGTCGATATGATGAACTGGACAGAATACTTGGCTCTCGTCCCATAACATCACCACTGAAGGTTGTTGAGAGTGTTCAGAGACAACAAGTTGATGACGACAGCTCCTCTGAAGATGAAGTAAACATGACTGGTACTGCTAATTTATCTGATCATGATATGACAGAAACAGAAGATATCTTGGAAACTGAACCAGATCAACTTCAGGATGATCCAGAAAGGCATACTAACAGATCTGAGGAGAATGTTGTCAGTCAAACACTACATTCCAAACAAAGTCAACTGGCTAAGATGGGTTGCGATGTGAAACATGATGGCTATAAGAAGAGAGCCCGAACGTCACGTCTGGAGATAGCTTTGTCGTCTGTGATGGACAGTTTTACATCAAGTAATGAGAAAAATGAAGGGAAGCTCTTGTCTTTAGAACACCGCAAGCTTGATGTTGAAATGAAAAAGATGGAAATGGAGAAAACGAGGTAAGAGTCAGAAGAGAGAGAGGAGCGTGATCATCGGTACAGACTGATGAGCATGATTATGTCTCGTGTTGGAACAACACCCATTGTGGATCCACATCCAGGGACATCACAGAGTCGCCAGCAACAGTGGCAATGCTCCTACAGTCCGTCAGTCAGTGACGGCAGCAACGTTTCCTATGAGAAACCTGGTGAAACCTTTTATAATCTGTGACATTCCGAAATGGATGATGTATGTACCTGTACAAGTTCACACCTACATTTCGTCTGCTGACGGTTCCAACAGTTTGAACATTTATTTTACTTGCTTTCTTTTCACGTATGGGGTGACATTTAGTTATTTTTTTATTTCAAGATATCTTTAGTGAGAAATCACTTATTGTGAAAATGTTCTTTTTAGATTGTCATAGATTATTCTACAACCAGCGTTAAACTGTCACATTTCATTTGGAAGTTTATTCCATGATATAAGTGTATATGAATTAATTTAATTTTCCAATTAAAACATTGTCACACTACAAAGCTTTATTCATTTCTGCAATAAAAATAGACTATAGAGAGTGACAACTGGTGACTGCTAATGATGACATAATAAAAAATAAACATTGAATGAATATAAGTATAAGAATTAGATTCTATAAAATACAGTTGTTGCAAGGTAGTTACAAATGGTTTCTCTTATCGCTTTGGCTTGTCCGATATGTCACTATCGTCATAATATTCAAAAGCCATATCATCAACAGGGTAACGACATTCCTCTGGAAACTGTTCCTGTCTTAGCTCACAAAAATTGTGCAAGACAATGCAAGCTGCAATAACTGTTGGGGCAAATTCTACATCAAAGCCAGACCTTCAAAGGATATGCGGGGTCCCCAATAAGCACAATAGGTACATCAGCAAACCCGTTGTTAGAGTCTAGCTCCACTGAGGGAACAGTCGTCCTGAAACTCCCCTGTGAAATAAATCAGAATTTGCAAAAACTCTGGCATCGTGCACCCGTCCCGGCCATCCAACGCAAATGTCTGTAAAGATGTAACGATAGTCACATACCGCTTGCTGTATAAGGGAATACCATCCTTTCCGGTTGATGTAGTCTCCATGATCCTGATGTGGTGCTATTATCGGAATGTGTGAACCATCGATGGCTCCTCCACAATTTGGGAATCCCCACCGTTCGTTGTTACCCTGAATTACACTTTTTAGATTATCTCCAGTTGGAAATGAGATGTACACAGGTGCCAAGTGATCCGTTATTGCATTACAAACATTGTGAACATTCTCAAAAAGGGTTGATTTTCCAAGACCAAAAAGGTTTGAAACCGTTCTGTACTTGCACGAGGTAGAAAGCCAATATATAACTGTTCCAACCTGATGCTTGATCTCAATAGGTTCACACACTATGTGCTGTTTGCCAAGATATGGAGCCAGCTGCTCACAGATGGAGTTAAAAGTCTCCTCTTTCATTCTAAATTTTCAACCCACTGTGTATCATTAAAGGAATTCAAAACAATGTTCTGCCATTAGTATCTGCTTCTTTCTCGTCTGTATAGAGTTCTCTCACGGCAGTGGATAAGATGTAGGGAAAATATCTAAAATGTCTTCTACGTTGAGAAAGGACGGCTTCCATCCTGCTGTATAGTAGATAAATAAAAGAATTTGCTAAGGAAATATAGTTATACCCCGTATGTGCATATGAACGCATAGCAAATATACTATTTGCTAATGTGAGCAGATATACTCATATGTATTTTTTCTTGTGTATGCAAATCTTGTGCATATAAACAGGGCCTATTACACTCTTAAAACTACAACCAACAACGCACAGGAGTTTTCAGCAGTTCAGTTCGATATCTTTTGACAGCTATCGTCATAAAGACAATTCCTAAGGCTAAACCAAATTCATCATTTCATTACGAAATTTACGACGTAAGCAAAGATCAAAATGCCAAGATTGAATGCTACTGATCGAAATATCGCCATTGAAGCAGGGCAGTCCCGGTCTCACGTTGCAAGACACTTCAACGTCCACAGCAGCACTATATCGCAACTATGGCATTGATGTATCCGCTTCAATTCGACCCAAGATCATCTCAGAAGTGGAAGACCAAGAGTGACCACTACTCCTGCTCAAGACCGATTCATCCGGGTGTTTCACCTACGTCACCGATTTGCTACAGCAACGGACACTGCAGGACTGGCGCCTGGTCTAGGAAGAATTTCCGATCAAACCATCAGAAATCGTCAGAGAGAAGTGGGAATTCGAGCAGATTGACCAAAAGTTGGACCTGTCTTGACACGACTACACCGGCAACGACGTGTCCAATGGTGCAGCAGGGTACAGGCATGGAACCTTGGCAACTAGCGAGGCGTTTGGTCCAGCGATGAATCGTGTTTCCTCCTGCTTTTGTTGTTTGAACATATTTTATTCAATGTTGAAATGGATTGGCCACAAGTAACTTATTACCGCCCGCTCCCATCAGAAACATGAACAATAATGAATGGACGTAATGAATGGACATAAAAATATTAAGACATATTATTCATTAATCGAAGCGCTTACTTCGAACAATGTATTTATGCACATGACTGAAGATATTTTCATTAATAGTATTTGGCAGAACAGGGTTGCCGTAAAGAATGGTAT